TGAGAACACCATTGCAGTGTCTCAGTGTGCTGCTGAAAGAACCCAGGCTGCTCCTCTGGCCACTTGGGCCTCGGTGTCTTGGAGCTGGAAGACTTTTCTTGACTCTGCATGGACACTTTGAAGGAATGCTGGGGTGCTGTGGTGTGCCCCTGGGGTGCTGTGGTGTGCCCCTGTGGGCTCTGCAAATGCACCCTCTCCAGCATTCCTTGGCTCAGGACACAGGCTCTGGGGTCACTACTGAGGCAGCTCATGCTCTTTGCAGCAGGAGCACAGGCCACTTAGCTGGAACATAAGTATCCATTAAGGTTTTGATGTCTTCCTGGAGGTTCTGTGTAGGGGAGAATTTGTCCTAGGTATAATCTACTAGGAATCAAGGGGATGGGTTATTGCAGGAGCTGTGTCCTCAGGAATGCCTGGATCTGTGAGGATAGAGGGAGCTTGACAGGTCTGGCTCTGCAGAGGAGGCACAGTCCAGGAGCTGGGCTGGGACACTTCCAGGGGCTGAGACTGAAGTACCCACTCAGGCAGGGCAGCAATGCCAGTTCTAGAAATCACTAATACCTACAGGTAGTTTTCTTAAACCAAGGAACTAATTTAAAGGAAGACTAACTTTCCCTACTGCTGCCTCCTGGAGGAAGGAATGCAGCTGTTAACTGCCATAACATCCAACCCTTAAACACCAGCAGTATTTAACTTCTCTCAAGGTGACAAGCTCTTAACAAGGTGTTAGGACTTGAGTTACTTTATGAAATTGAAAATTCATGTATGGTTACAGATAAAAAGACATCCCTGGATTTTCGTGAGTAACAAAGTGAAAATCCTCCTCTCCTTGGTACACCAGGAGAAAGATTTAGACTAGTACTAAATACACCTTTGAAGGTTTTTATCTTAAAACTAGCAGTGACATTCTAGTTTCAGACTTGCCAGAATTACTTCTGACAAACACACATCTTTTGCAACACAAGTATCAGTGCTCAGATACTGGGATTGTAGTTGCATGTGGTAGTTGAAGAATAATCAGCTTTAAGGTAGCTTCATAAATGGCTTCCAATGCTAACATGAGGAAAAACGTATTGGGCAGTTAGAATATTGTTCTTGGATGCTGTAGAAGTATGCAAGAAATGGTATGGCTGGTTCTTGGAGAGGCAAGATTGTAGCCAAGATATAAGAATTCAGACTCCTCGTGCAGCTACGATGATCACTTGTGTACTTTGCCACTCAAATAGGAGATAATTTTGTCTCTGAGGACTACATGTTGTGTGCTTGATTTTAAAAGTGCTTTAGAGCTATGAAGCACAAAGCAATTGAAGAAGTGCTGTGCTATTGAACCAGCAGTTTTTAGGGTTCAGAAGTGTTGCTAATAAGATATCATATCCTGTCCTTCCAGATAACATTCCTTTCCACTTGAACTACTGTTTAATTACCTGGTAGTATAAGGAAATACTTCGCATTTCATCGGTGTGAAAGGCTGGTTTCAGGCTCTGTGATGCTATGTTTAAGAACGTCTAGAAGAGCATATTTGTTGCCTCCACTTTGGGTGCACAAGATTCTTGTCTTCTGTGGTGCAGTGGCTTCTCCAGAATGCTTTCATGTGAGCACCCGCAACGCCCAGTTACTGATAATGGCTTTTTTTGTAATCACATCCTAATAGCTTAAATCCACTAATAACCTTGTTACTGAGCCTGCCTCTCATACTCTTTCTGTCCTGTGCTGTAAAACTGGAGAAGTAGGTACTTTTTTGCGAACTCATGAACAAATGAGCTAAAACTTAAAGCAAAAAAACTACTTGCAAAAGACAATTTAGGTGTTTTTATTAAACATTGAAATGCTATTAACTATCTTTCAAATATGCTTCAGGTGGTTAGTAAATGGATCTCTAGACTGTAGAAAGGCAGAAGGAAAGGAAGAAGGGAATGCAGAAGGAAGAGAAAGGGAAAAGGATGGAGGGAAGGGATAAGGGCAGGATCTTGTTGTGACCCAAGCAGTGTGTCAGTTCTTCTCTGCATAATCTAGAGCTGAACGTCTCTGACCTCACGTCCTTTCAATACTCACCAGCAGGGATGGAGAAATTCCGAGCACCTTAAAGCTGCATTTTCCTCTGCAGCCTTTCACGTCCTGGTGACTGAGACTGGACGCAGAGCCCGCCCCGCTCTGCCGTGAGCCGGGCCCGGGACCAGCCGGGACCAGGGGGTGCTGCGGCCGGAGGAGCCCCCGGAGCCCCGGGCGGGGGCTGAGGAGCTCGGCGGAGCTGCCCGAGCCCCCGGGGAGGAGGTGGGTGCCCGGACCGGTCCGTCAGCGGGCACCAAGAGGCTGCAGCTGCGGCCGGGGAAGGCCGGGATCCGGCGGGGCTGTACGGGTCCCTGCAGTCCCCTGCCCGGCCTGGTCCCCACTGGTCCGCGCGCCCCGCCGGGCACCGACCCCCCCGACTCGCCGCAAGCCGCGGAGGCTCCCGAGCCCCTCCCCGAACCCTGCGGTGGCGCGCAGGAGCCGTCCGCCGTGCCCGGCGGGTCCGTGGGCAGCGCGGGGTGCTGATGTTCCCTCGGGACGAGCAGGGACAGGTCTGCAGGACCCCCGCGTCTGGGATGCGGTGCTCGGTAAAGCTGAGCTGCAGAGTAAGAATTTCCATGCTTTTGTTTTTTAGGGTTTTTTCGTGGTTTTGGTTGGTGTTTTTTTTTTCTTAATTACTCTGGCTGGTGCTTGTTATTTGGTTTGTGGAAGCCAAGCCTGCCGGTGTGTGTGAGTGAGGGCGGGCTCTGAGCGCCGCTGTGACTGAGCGGAACAATGCTGGGTTTGAGGGTCCGAGGAGTGGCCAATTCCCCGAGTGAGTCCATGCTGGGACAGCGGGGTCTTGCACTGTCACAGTCCCGGTAATGGACAGGGGACACTTCAGATCCCTGAAGGCAAGAGGGAGGGTTTGAAGTTGCCCTTTTCAGGCTGAGATGCTCTCCCACCCCAAAAGAAGAGAGGAAGGCTCCAAAACCTGAAGTGGGGAGCACTAGGGAGTGTTCCCCTTTCTGACTTGTAGAAAGCTCTTATCCCACCTCTTTGGGCAGATTAAAGTTTTCCCTTGTTAAGATAAAAGATACTTCTAAACCAGCTTTTCAAGCAGTTTCCCTTGCCCCCTTCCTTCATTTTGACAGTAAAATGTTGTTGTGATTTATTTTTGTTGCCAAGAAAAAGAAAGGGAAACTTGTTCAGTTTCACCATTGAGAGAAATTTTTTCCCCGTGCCTTCCCCAAAACCATCTCTCCATCAGTTCCTTCTTTATATGTGGTTGTCAGTGATTTGCAAGAAGTCAGACCGCTTACATCCAAAGCTTAGGATCTGTGTTTTGGTTTTGTGTTCAGCATTTCCAAGGTGATGACACAACTTAATCCAGGATACCCCATCATTTTCATATGGTTAAACCACTGACAGCTTCTGTCTTACTTGTGGGTTAGGATCTACTTTATTAGTCATGTACACATCCATAGTGGGCCACACACAAGTCTTGTTAATGCTGTTAACATTTACAAAAATGAATTTTCAAGCTTGATTAAGATGGGGTTTGAATTAGTTAGTAGGGAATAAGCTTCATTTAAGTATTACTTCATGTCAGCTGGAGTCTATTGATTCATCAAGTGCCACTCATACTGGAGTTAAATAAGAAATAAAGAAGACATAAACAAGTTTCCTGTACAGTGCTGTACAGGAGTGTGTGTTTTTGTAACTGGGTGCCTGTTAGTTCTGACAAGAAGTACAGAAACAACTTGTGTTCTTTGCTCCTTGCAAGTCGTTCTGTTTCCTTCAGGCCTCTTCAGCTGAAATTAAATATGTGTGTTAATACTGATCTCTCTTGGACCTTGCACTTACATTGGTAGCCTGCTCAAAGCAGCCATGTCATTGAGGTGTTTTCCTACTTGGGAATTAATCACAGCTTTTGTGGCAACGTTTTCTTGAGTGTCTCTTCGGGTGGGCCTGGCCTTGCCAGCTCACCTCAGGCATGTCATTCAGCACCATGGAAATCAGAATGGAGCTTTTGGATTCCTTTGCACTGAGAGTTGCCTTAATTTTGCAGTTTTTAATTTTCAATTAGCAATAACTATTTCCTCAAGCATATGACTTCTAATTTTCATTATGAGGTTTAGTTTGTGTAGTGGTTGTACCAAGAAAAAAAGACTACAATACTGCTGAATACAAAATAAGATATTTGTGTAGTCTAGTAGAAGACTTGGCCTCTCAAGCCTCTCCTGGGTGACATTATTCTGCCTGATCTGAATGTATCCTGTAAAGAGGTGGGACAGATGTTAGTTCACTGTGGAAATACACCTGGCATTCCACTCCTTGCTCCCTCTCAGACCCAGATTATGGGTCCTCAGGAGGGTTTGTTCAGGATTCTGGAGCTGCCATGGGACCAGATGATACTGAAGCCCTGCTCATTTGCAGCAATACTCAGTGTTCCTGCTGGAGTCTCCAGGGTTATACAGAGCTCTGTGCTTGTCTGCTTTGGCTATTTTTAAACTTTTCTGCCTTCTCACCTTAATGACTTGCTAGGAGAGCACTGTGAACCCCAACAAAGGCTTTTTGGAAAACTTCGTAGAAGAGGTTTAGTGCTGGATTTTCTTTTTTCATGTTCCTTCATAAAGTGTGATGTTAGAACACCGTATTCATGTCTGGTGGGCCTGAACAGTTGATGATATAAAATACCTGACCCAAATATTTTTATCAAGGAGAGAGCTTGATATTAAAAATATCCATGGGAAAAGCAGGTAAATTGTCATAAGGTTGAATGGGAACACAATGCTGAGGCAAAATGAAAGGAGTGATGGTGGGGAGTAAAAAAAAACTTCTCTTATTCCAGGTGTGGAGTAAAGAGGGAGGAGATTTGCTGTGGAGAAATAAAGACATCTGAAGAAGTGGTGAGAAAGAGTATGGGCACAGTATATAGTGCTCAAACCAAAGCATGAAAGGAAAGCTGACCTCAAAGCCAGGCTGCGGACTGTTCCCCTCCAAGTTACAAAATGAAGTAATGGTTTTAATTTTGTTTTGTTTTCTTTGCTTAAATAAACAGGAGGATCAGCACTGGAACATTAAATGCCATGTAGAAGTGGTGCTGTTGAGCCTTTGGCTGAAGTTTCATGGTAAGTTATCACTGCTCCTGGAAGATTGAACCCATCCCTTCCCCTTGGGCAGTGCTGGCATGAAGATGGCTGTGCCATGGACTGAAGAGCTCAGCTGGGCTAAAGTGAGGCGGCAAAGGAATTAATGGGCGGTTTTCAACCCATCAGAGTTTCCTGGTTGATCCCACTGTGTGTCCCCTCACATGCGCAGGGCTGGCCGAGGGACACGGGCGGTGATGGGATGAGCAGAACGCTTCCATCACCAGCGCCGGCTTATGCAGCTTTAGTGTCCGTGCAATTACAGTTTGACTAAGGAACACCTGTCACCCCCTAGTTTCACCACAGCTGCGGTGTGTTCAGCGGGATTTGTTTCAGGCCCCAGCGCGGAGGCCGGACGGGCCCTGCGGGGCCCTCGGGGCGGGCGCGGGGCGCCATCTTGGCGCGGGCAGCGCTGCGGGGCAGTGACGCCAGGTGGCGCCGGGGCGCGCGCGGCCGCCCGGGACGGGCGGGAGGGTCTGAGGGGAGAGGCGTGAGGGGAGGCACCGGCACACACGGATAGCCGCGGGCAGCGGAGGGCAGGCACCAACACACCCCCGCGGGGAGGGCAGGCACCGACACACACAGCACGGGGGGCAACCACGGTAGGGGAGGGTGTAGAGCATCCTTAGGAGGAGCGGCTGAGGGCTCTCGGTGTGTTCAGCCCGGAGAAGGGGAGGCTGAGGTCGGACCTCACCGGGGTTTGCAGCTTCCTCACGAGGGGAAGCGGAGGGACAGCACCCATTCCTGCTCTGTGGAGACAGGACCTGAATGGCCTGAAGCTGTGTCAGGGGAAGGTTAGGCTGGATATCAGGAAACTGTTCTGCCCCAGAGGATAGTCGGACACTGAACAGGCTCCCCAGGGCAGTGGTCACGGCCCCAAATCTGACAGAGCTCAGGGAGTGTTTGGACAACGCTCTCGTGGACAGGGTGGGATTGTTGGGGTGTCTGTGCAGGGCCAGGAGTTGTACTGGATGACCCTTGTGGTTCCCTCCCAACTCATGATATTCTGTGATATCTCCAAGGCAGGTGCCAGACTTTTTGGTGGTGCCCAGTGACAGGATGAGGAGCAATGACCGTAAACTAAAACACAAGTTCCACCTCAACTTGAGGAAGAAATTCTTCCCATGAGGGTGGCAGAGCCTTAGAACAGCTCCCCAGGGCTGAAATGGAGTCTCCCTCCCTGGAGACATTCCAAACCCACTAGGACATGTTCCTGTGTCACCTGCTCTGGGTGACCCTGCCTTGGTGGAGGGGTTGGACTGGACGATCTCCAGAGGGCTCTTCCAACCCCAACTATTCTGGGATTCTGTAGACAACCACCATTCTCCATGGGCGTCTCTGGTACCTCATGGTGTTAGGAAGCCTTCAGAGGAAGCTATTCTGGTGCTGCCCCAGCATTCAGAGGCAGTGGCTCTGCCTGGTTCATGTGTGTTATGGTAACAGGCACAGCCACCAATGGCACAAGGTGGTGGTGCCCATCAAGAGCCTGCGGTCAGAATGGGAGGTAGAAGTTCATCCTGGTGGAGTAGCTGAGTGGGGGGTACAACATTTGTAGCACACTGATTATTTTCCCCATTGTCACCGCCTAATTGTGGGGGTGAACCATTCAGAGCAAGAGATCTGCGTTGCTATTCAGCTATTTTTGACTTCTATCCGAGCCTCTATCAGTCTCTGACTTTGTCATGGGCATGTCTTGCTCATGGAAAGGAGGCATTGTTGCTTCCAGAGGAAATGACATAAAGTGGAAAGAAACAAAAGCTTGGCTGCTCACATCTCACATGGTTAGCAGGGGACTTCAGAGAAGAGCTGCCTTGTAAGAATGGCTCAGTGTTAGTGGCTGCTGGAGCAGCTCTTTTTCCATTCATCTTTTGACAAAAATAGCTGGAAAGGAGCACGTGAACCTCAGAGTCTATTTTTTGATTTGCCTTTGGATTCTCTAGTACAGCACATCTAGTCTGTGCAAAATGTAGAACACAAGAGATTGGTTTCTTCAGCCAAAAGTCCCTTGAGTTCATTCCTGAAAGGTAGTGATTGCTTCAGTGATACAGCATCACTTGCTCAAAGCCAGGGCTTTGAATCAATAGCTCTTGACTGCTGATTGTGTTCTGTCTCATTTACTATTACCTTCCTTCACTCAATTCTTCTGTTTGGGAGCTTATGCTAAGTTTTTTTTTATGTTCCTCACTCGTTTTCCCATTGGCCAGTCATGCACCTCACATTTCTGACTCTGGTGTAGAGAAGGTGGTTGGCTTGTTCAGATGGATCCTGTGAGCTTTTAAACCTCTTGTGAGACTTCTTTTGCCAGCCTTTCCTACCCCAGCCTCCTGTATATGCTGTTCTCCTGTTGTTTCCATGGGTCAGTGCTGGTTACCTTTTGAGATAGGGTTCTTTGTGCTTCTTGTGTACCTTAAAGCAAGATTGGAAAAGATACCTACTCAGACATGTACAGCTGGTTTAGTGTGGAAATTCCCTGTTTCCATTTCTCTGGCCCTTGGTCCTTGAAGAGGATTTGCAGGTAGATACAAAATCTACTTGTATTGATACTTTTTTTATTTTAATGCATGTTTTGATCATCCAGCATACTCACAGTTACAGAACCACAGGGGAGTGGTTCTCAAGCCACTGAACTTTGGGCAGAACTTGCTCCATGATATACTTATAAATCCTGCTTTGTGATGGTTCCCCAGAGCAGCTGCTGACGGCTCATCTTTGTCTCATGGTGCTTTCAGAACCTGCTCCCTGAGGCCCTGTGTGTGAAACCTGGTGTCATCACTGTGAAAAGAGAGGAAGAAGGGTTTTTTTGGGTCACTATGTCTGGGGTTTGCTCACTTCCAAACAAACCAACCTCTTCCAAACAAACCTCTTCTCTCTTCTCACTGCTGAGCTGTTCAGTTTACAGTGCTTACTTTTTCTTATGAGCCTTTTATGTTAACATGGGATCCAAGACTGAGAAAGAATATAGATAAATCCTTTCCAAAAAGTCCCTGTGACAACTAGGATTTGCACAGTGTCTTTCACTTATGGCTCTCACTACTTTTTTTTCCTTTTCCTGAAAAAATAAGAGTTTCTAAAAAATATAAAACAACAGAAATCTGTGCTTGGTTAAGTGGTTTAGCCTGCCCTGCATCAGCGTGCTGGCCCTGGTTTGTGTTCTCATTCATCGTTCTTACTCTGCTGGTGCTGCCTCCAGACTGACATCAGTGCTGTTGGTTTACCACCTCCCTGGGCTTGGTCTTGCTGATTTGAGTTAGAAGACCAAACTCAGTCAAACCTTCCCTCCTCTCTCCTTGCCTAGTAAAGTCTAGGAAGAGGAATATCCTTTTTTTCCCATGGACTGCTATGCTCTGGTGCTTATACTGAGCACTTGACTAAATCTGTGGTAAGATAAAGTAAAATACATTGCACGAGGGGAAATAAATCTTGTTTTATAGTTGGGGGTTCAGGGCAGTCCTGCTCTCTCTGGCTCATGAGAGGTTGCTGTACCAAGAGAATAATTTTCCTTTGTCATGCACTGGCTCCTCTCGAACTCGCTGTCGCTGTGGTTCTGCAAACTGCTGCACAACAGCTCTTCATGAATCATATTTGCATATCATTTCCCCTCAGCACAGGCTGCTGCTGGCAGATCAGCTCTCTTGTGTCTTGTATTGGTGGTTTTCTTTCACCCTGGAAGAAAGATGGTTTAAATTTGTTCCATGTCTGCTCTGACACTGTGGTGGTAGTTTCTGTACTGGCTCTGTGCACCAGAGCTCTGGCTCTGCCCCAGACTCTGGTTCATAGTTGCATTAGTTATCAGAATCATTACAGTAGCATTTCACGATAAGAGTGGCTTTTTCCAGGTCCTTTCTGAGACCAGTGTGAGCAAGTAAGTTTGTACCTTCTCTCTGGAAATTCCAGGCTCAGATTTTAACCTGGATTTGTTTGCCTGAATATGAACCTGACCTCAGACGACCAATCTGTTCTTCACATGTGCTTTATGATAGAGTTTTTCTGCCCCCCATGGACCCAAATGAATTCAACAGAACAAACCTGGAATCCATCTGCTTCATCTCCTCTGTTATGGGTTAATTCTGTATTTTATTTTACACTAGGAAATATCAGTGTGGCTCCATTGACAGAGATCCTGTTGGACACAAGGGACAGACTGTAAAGGTCCCAGGGAGTGTCTGGGGCTGCAGTCATGTCACTGCTGGGGAGGTGGCCAGTGTACATTTGGGGGCTGCAGTGCTGAGACCAGGAGTGCAGGAGACACTATTGGTTTGTTTGCAGTAGAAAGCTGCTACTGTTTGATATGTCTGTTTGATCTCCTATTGCAGAACACTCAGAGCACTATAAAAACACTTGATCTGCATATACTCATTCTGGTAATAAAAGTACCATAAAATCTTACTATGAGTAATTTTATATGTATATTACTTCATTTATACTTAGTTTTTAAAAGATGACTTCTTAAAAAAAAACCACACACAAATGAGACATGATCATCAGTAAAATGTCTAAGTACCTGTTAGAGTTTATAAAGCATGGTCCATGGATTAAATGATCTACAGCAGTCATTTATGCTTTATTTGGGTTTCTAGATTAAATCTGAAAATGCCCAGAAAATTCCCTGCACTATTAGCCCGATGCCAGGTTCTCTCCTTTCTAGCTAAAAGATCTTTATTTTTTCCTATGAGGTTAAGGGAAGAGTATCTTCTAGGTCAGTCACCAGGACAAAAATCTCAGCTGAAGTGATCCTCATTCCTCTGTATTCTTAAAGTCTATGAAAATCATAGCACAGCTTTAATCCTGAGTGAACCAAGACCTCCTCTACTCCACTGCAGCTGAGAAAGAAAACTTGTATAGAAGTGGGCTCTACTGCCTCTCATTTCTCTTGTCAGTGTTGCTGCCCTGTTTTACAGGTTAGAATAACTTTTTGGGTGTTCTGGGGAGGTTTTCTTGGTTTTGCTTTTATCTTTCCCTTCAGAGAGTTATTCTCAGTTCTTGGCTTATCCATCACTTTTGGCCTGTACATTACAAGAGCTGCAGTGCTGTTTGGAGATGTATCTTGCTGCCACTGAGCAAAGCACTGGCAGGTGTTATATAGGAAACTGGGTAATTCTTGCTAATACAACTCTTGGCAGGACTTCAGATAAGGTTCAGGCTCTCCTGTGGATGCCAGAAACAGGCTTGGTTGTAGTAGGTAACAAAAGAAAATGTTTATTATATTAGGCCCTTGTGATAACTTTCTGAATAGGTGTATTTTGAAGTATTCACATGAAAAAACCAGTGTAGTGTTTATCTTCAGGCTTCATCCTCATGTGAGTTACTTTTTTTTTCATGCAGATCAGAAGTGATATGTCAGAGACTCTGGATGAGACCATTCCACTCATTAAAGACAAGGTGCTGGAGAGGAACCACATCTGTGCCAAAGTTGATAAACTTGAGGTTTGTTCACTAGAAAATTTACATCCTTCTCTTTATATGTTTATGGGTTAACTGTCTAGGATTTTATAAGGAGCACTCAGATGTTTATGGCCCTCTACTGTCTTGTGTTTGTTTTTAAATCAGTGTGTTTACCCATGGTTCAGCACATGTAAGTGTTTATGGTTTTGGAACATCACTGAGTAATTTATTGCTGTGGATTCTACAATTAAAAATGGTAGATGAAAAGCATTAGTTGTGGTTTCAATGTTAATAATTATGCTAATAATGTTGATCTGTTTTATGACCTGAAGGAGTACGTGTGAAACCATTTGTAACCAAAAATTCAAGTCTCACATGCAGTGCAGATGTACCCATCTTAAACTGCTGGGTGTTGTCCCATGCCATAGCAGAGATCTCTGAGCTGCCCTGTTCTGCTGTGCCTGCTCCAGTGTTTGTTGCAGTGTGACTCCCTGTCTGCCCTCCCCATGCTTAGTGAACACTGTGGTAACATTTGTGTCAACTGAGGGCCAGTGTGCCTCTGGGAGGAGTGGATGAAAACATGAGCAGAGAAATTGTGTCATGTTTAAAACCAGTTTTAACTGACTGGAAGTGAAACCAAGTGGCTGTGCCAAATCTGTTTGCGGCTGTCCATCCCTTCCCCCTGTTCTGTGGGACACCATTGCAGAGGTGCCCCTTCAGCATCTCTTGCCAGGGGAAAATTAAGACTATCCTGACAATATCTGTAGGTGAGTTTGCATTGTAATCATAGTGTCCAACTTGGGTATCTTCTCTCTATAGCCTTGATCAGGCAGGGTAAAAAAGTTTGAGTGCCCCTCTCTGAACAGTGTGTGTATTTATTTCAGCTACAATTTTTCCTCTTCTAATTAAACAAGGATGCCATTCTAAATGCAAGGGAAATCTCCTTCTCAGTGTTCTGCAATTGGATTTCAAAAGCTTATAATTTTTTTTCATCTCTCACTGTGGTTTTTTGGGTATTCAGAGATTTGTTTCATAAACACTTCCAGTGCACAGTAACGCTGGGAGAGGGATCTGATCCATAGGAGAAAAGTGAGTAACCAGGATTCACTCTTTGTGTTTGGAATATCCAGAGGTGGGCTGAGAAGAAAGGACCTTGTACTAAATATAAATTACAAACATGCCTGGGTAAGTGTGACGGGTTCTAAGAATATAAAACCTCCAGAGGGAACAGAGCAGAGGAAGGAACTTTCTCTTGTGAAGTTTCTCTGTGGGAGAAAAGCTTTTCTGCTGTAAAGCTTGAACTTTGTATGGAAGAAACTGTGATTTCAAATCTTTTTATTCAAAGATGTTATCTGTGCCCTGGCTGAATGGGGTGCAGCAATCTTAGAGAAAGGACAGGAAATCTATTTTAGAAAACTTCAGCATGTGGAGTTTAAAGAAAACACCAGTATCTCCCAATGGAAGAAAGCTGAACGTTAGCAACCCTTGCTGTTTTGCAGCTTGTGATAGTTGGTGTTTTCTTAAAGCTAGACATTTTCTTTCAATGTCATTGGCTGAAAATCTTGTCAAATATTTATTTTTAGCTTAATTTTTAACCCTTGTATAATTTCAGGGAAAGGCTTATAAAATCATAACCTCCAAAAAATCTCTTTTGAAGAAAAAGTGCACATTTGTTGGATAACTTTTCTGGAGGCTTTTTACTGTGTATTTCTTTCTCCTGATGTTGTAATCTGTACAACAACAGCTGCTTATCTGAGGTGGGGTTTGCTGTCTTGTCTGGGCTGAGGTGCTGGCTAATGGTTTTTCCTGGTACCTGGGGTAGAGTCTGAGAAATGGAAGTGGGAAATTGATAGTGGAATATGAAGCATTCTCTGTGTTACTTTATTGGTTTGGCTGAGCTCAGTAATGAGCAGAAATTATTGATGAGTTAGACTGAGAGACCTGTACTTAAGTCCTTTCCAGTGGCTGCTGGTGTAAAGTGTGGATGTGGAATCCCAGCCCTCTGGCTGCAGTCTCCATAGTCTGATAGGAGATTGATTCTCAGAGAGAAGAAAGCTCAGGAGGAGTAAGGAGCTGTGTAGAGTTTGTTTTGCTCTGTGTAGAAGACATCAAACTGTGTCTTATCAAAAATAAATCATGGGAATAAGAAATCTTTCCTATACTGAGACTTTGCATTTTTTAACTTTTGCAGATCAGCCTTCAAATGTAACTTGATGTAGGTGTCAGCCTCACTCTTTGCTATATATTAGCAGTTCCTCTTCTCGAGGACTCCAAAGCAGCACATATTGGAATTTCTGTTACTGACAATGTGTGATCACATATATGTCACGCTACTTCTTTGTGTCCTAATTTACCTCACAAGATAATGTTTGGTGTTTCCAAAGTGCTATGAGATTTTTCTGACAGCCTTGAAGAAAAATATTTGTTAAATTAATACTCAGCCATAGCAGATGGGAAAGATGAGAGGAGAGAAAATAGAGCAGAGTATTTCAAAACTGGGGGTGTACTATGTTCATATTTAAAACTCATTAATTTTCAAGTGCTGAATGCTACAAGCCATTTTCTTAATAATGGAGAAAATAAAAAAGTCTGGCGCGTGCTAAAATATTTGATGTTAAGGACTTTGGGGGTTTGTTCAGCTTATTTTACCTGCAGCTCTGCTTGAAGTTAATCCAGCCCCTTTCTGACTTGGACTGATGCATTAACTGGTTTGGCAGCCCCAAAAAGGTCACACTGGTTCTGTGTTGAGAAAATGAACACTTGAAAATGGGAACATTCAGGGAGGGGATGCTGCAGGCCCAGAAGTCAAGATTTCAGCTGTCACAACACTGAGGCAGCTTGCAGTTTTTAAGTGGGCATGAGCAGAAGTCAAAATAAAAAATACAGCCTATTCCCACGTGAACCAGTTCTGTTGGATTGTACTTAGAGCAGGTGTAAAATGTCTTTGCACTAGACATTGTTAGACATGTCCTTGTCAGACTGTGCAGAGCAGGACAGCACAGTGACACCTCCATGCAGCTCCTGTGCTGAGTTGCAGACACAGCCATGGGGGGACGTGGCAGTGTCACCACTGCTCTCTGGGGAGAGTTGGGGCAAAGGAGCTCTTGTATAAACAGGTACCACTTTGGGGGGAAATCAGCTTTTAATTGAGCCATTGTGTTGCAATGGCAGAAAAAAACCCCCATTTTCTCATTTATTTGCAGCAAAGAAGTTAAAATAACAATCCAGATTCCCTTTTTTAATCAGTGCTAAGATTGGCTTCTGACTTCCTGTTCTCTAATGGGAGGGATTAGGCCCTTTATGTTTTGAAAGAGATGGAGCCAATTCCTGTTGCAAAATTCCAGTACTGAGATCAAATGAATGAATAAAAACACTTAGGAAAAACTTGATTCGTCAGAAAGGCACCTTCATTAGTGCACTCATCACTTCTCTGTCATAGGAATTGTCTTCAAGCCATAATTGCATCTCACTGACAAAGGTTTCTGGCTACATATGTAAAGATTTGTAAAATGCTGCCTTTCTGTAAACTGGTCTGGTCTGTGCCAGCGAGCAGGAACCAGAGCTCCTCCTCCGAGTCAGTGCCAGGGACTATTGGTTAGTTCAGCTCGAAATGCTCTCTGCAGTGCACGGTCACTGGGCTCTGGGAAGGCAGGGAAACATCCTCCTTCAGCAGCGTTTTACATAACATTCCCTGTGCAGAGTTAGAGTGAATTACTCCCAGAGCAGGTATTGGCTGGCACCAGTCAATGGCAGGAACGTCTCCTCACCTCCCTTTTCACATTCCTGCACTCCTGCTGTAAGGATGGAAGTGGCTGCATGTGGCTGCCTGGGCAATGGGGATGGCTGCAGCTGGGTCAGCTTCCCTGTCTGTGCTTGCAGTTCTGTCCCTCCGAGCTCTGTGCTGTATTTATACTGTCAGACAGGGCTGGGTGTGCTCAGGGTTACCAAACAACACGTGTGAAATACTCACCCATCAGGGCTCCTGTTCATAAACCTGGGCTGTGCTGCTGTCAGCTCTTAAAAACCCCAAAGCAACAAAAGAATAGAAGCTAAACCTTGGCTGTTGTGTCTCTGGCATGAACACCCCAGGGCCAGCAGGGCATGTGCTGGGAAAGATGTTCTTGGGTCCCTTTCTCAGCAGAATCACCTGCCTGGATTTTTCTGGCAGCATCCCAGTTGCTTTGTTACAGGTGCTGTTTGTACAGCTGGTGTTAAGAGACATTAACCACGTTTCCCAAAATATTGCAATTCCCTTCCTAGAAAAGGATGACTCTGTTCCCTGTTTCAGGGTTTCCTTGGTTATGCTATTTTTCTCAGTTTATGCTCTACCAGCTACATATTAAATTCTAGCTGAATGTAAAATTCTAGTTAAATTAGATGAAGAAACACCCTGCAGATTGCATGATCTTTGGGGTTAAAGATCTCAAATGGACTTGTATACACTGAGAATTTATGTTCTTGCCAGCCATAGTTGTGGTGACCTTGTTGGGAACTTTGTTTTACCAAATTTCTGTGGGTTATTGTCTCCACAGCACGTTATGCTCTTCCACTTAGTGCTGCAACCATGCAATATATACTTTTGGAACAGTGTCCCACCAGAGGAATGTCTGTGGAAATTGTGGTCTCAGTGTGACAAAAGCAAAAACTTCTGTGTTTATTTTGTTCCTATTTTTAATTCTGCACAGAAAAAGAAAAAAAAATTAACCTTTAAAATTATTATCTGTTTATAAACATTTTGCTTAAAAAAAAAAGTTCATAATTTATACTTGGGGATCAACGGGGGTTGAAAATCACTGCAACTGTCTTCATGCAAGCTGTTCTGTCTTTGAGCTTCCAGTTTAATGTATGCAGTCTGCCACGTTAATTCTTGAAGTAGCTCTTAAGTGGGAGGCTGTAAAAGGGGTGATCTTGGACCAATATACTTTTGAAAATAGGAACTTGAACGTTGCAGAGGAGACACTCGTCTGGTTCCTCGTGTCAAAACGGTCTCAAGTAAATAAGCAATTTTAGAGTAGTCTTCAAAATTGTGAAAGGGGTTAGTA